TAAACAGGATGCAAACCACAGACTTTCTGAGCTCACAGTCCAAGCTTACGGCTATTTAACTTTAAACATAGTGGACAGGAAGTGGTAAAGACTAGAGAATTCAGAAGGTGGCTCCAGTAGTGTGAACCTTTGATTCTGAATTATGTCTGTGGTATAAACCGAGCTGAGGGAGACAAGGACCCTCCTAGAAGGCTCTGCCAGCACCATTGTAACATCACAGATGCACAGAATTCAATCCTAATTGTGTTAAAGTCTGTAATAGTTTTTAAAATCAATTATTTGGTTTAACACAAAAGAGTTTCTCAAAGCTAGCAAGCCCAGAAGCTATATAATAAGAATGTTGGCTATAGTTAGACTACTTTATAAGTTTTAAATTTTAGACATTAAAAACATAAATAACTACGTAGGTGGACAATATTTACAATTCAGGTAACAAATACATAGCATTTGAAATCTATGGATAATTCTTCCCTGTGGGTTGGTGAAAGTCAAGGAACCAGTGGAAGGAGAGAAGATCCCAGAAGTTGTTCAGTGGAGGCTGAACTGGGGCTTCATCATTTGGGAAGCTGATCACCAGTGGAGAGTCTCAGAGCAGATGATCACAAGGCAGTTTGTCTTCTGTTATTCACATTAGCAGAAAAGGTGGGTCTAGTACCTAAATGTCCGCAGCCATGGAGGTACAAGGACAGGACCATCACAAAGGCTCTAAGATGGGGAGCTGGGACTTCTCTGAGCATTCCTCGGATGCTTACTGCCTTGAGTTAGCTTGACCTCATTTAACCCTCATCGAGGGCTGGATGCAGCCTGATCTGGGTGCAGGAGGTCGTGTCTTCCAGCATACATTACATCACCTTCAGTACTGCCTCCCTCATAACAAATAAAAGCTAATCATTTATTTATTCAGAAAGCATTAACTATAATCCAGAGGCCATCAATACAGATGCTTGGAAGGTCATAAAAAGCTGTGCTCAGCCTTAACCCAGTTAACCTGACAACATACGTAACCTAGACGACAGCATGCTTGGTAGGGTGGTTTGAATGAGAATGGCCTCCATAGGCTCACGTGTTTGAACACTTGGTCTCTGGTTGATGGGACTATCTGAGAAAGATTAGAAGCTGTGACCTCTGAGGAGGTGTGTCCTAGGGTATGGATTCTCTCTGCCTTGTGGTTGTGTCTCACAATATAAGCTCTCGCAGCCATTGCTCCAGAACCATGCCTGCCTGTCTTCTTCTATGCTTCCTGCCGTAATGGTCACAGACTCTAAGCCTCTGGAGCTGTAAACTCAAAATAAATGTTTTCTTTGTGATAAGTTGCCTTGATTCTGGTGTCTTATCACAGCAATGGAAAAATAACTAAGATAGCCCCATATGGCTATCATAGAAGAAACAGCTTTGAAACCATTTCTAGAAAATGTAAGGCTCAAAGCAAAAAGCTTCCCAACATTTAAGGAAGAAATATCAATTTAATGCAAAGCTATACTATGGTGTTAATATGTCCCCCAAAATTCCTATGTCAGAAAACTAGCCCCCAAATCCTTATGTGAATAAGGAAGTGAAACTCTTCTGTAGTAATCAGGAGTAGATAAGGCTTTGAGGATCTGGTCCTACAATGACACAGGTGGCTTTGTAACAAAAGGAAGAGACACATGAGCTGGTACTCTTGCCTAGTTTGCAATGTCACAGTGAAGCCAGACAAACCTCACCAGATTCCTATGTCTCTCTCTCTTGGACTTTCCAGATTGTAGAACTATGAACCATATCGAATATTATTCTCTATAAATTTTTCTCAGATTCTTTGTTATTGTAATAGAAAACAGAGAAAGAACAAGTAGCAGAAGCTGAAAAATGCTTCTTCCTACGTCTATTCTGTAGCTAGTAGTGCCTTGAGCTAAAAACACAACCAATATACTACTAGAGAACTAGTTCCCTCATGCTCACAGATGCAGAAATCTCCAAAATAATATGGGGATATTGAGCCCAGGAACATTCACAGGAGGTAATACATCATGGATGGTTGTAATTTATTCTGGGAATGTAAGGTTGACTTCACATCTGAAGATAAAACAACATCATTTATCATATTGACAGACTAAAAAGAACAAAACAACATCATACATACAAAATCACCTCCTACATATAGGAAAGGCATCATCAAACCCAACACACACTCATTAAGAAATCTCAGAGCAAGGTACTGATGAACAGGCAAATGATGTCACCTACAGAGAGACTTAGAGGCTACCATACAAAAGGACAAAGGCTGGATGCCTCTCCTTCACAGTCCAGAAAGCCAGCAATGCCCACCTTCTTCACACGTCTGTGGAGTGGGATTGAGTACCAGGTAGGAAGAGAAGAATCTACCCATAGAAAAGATGACTATAAAAAAGATTTCAAGAATTCTGTGTTTTAAAGCCACAAACCCAAACTTGGAAATGCTTCTGAATGTAAAGTCGATGCCCAAATCCAATCAATCCCCTGTATATTAGCAGCTCATGATTGTGTATTGATATTGAGACATCATCTATTTTCCTATCTCTGAAACATCCGTGTTGAATAGTTAGAGATGAATATAACGAAACAAAGGTGAGACCTGTATGAGAAAAACTACAGAACAGTTGAGGGAGAACGAAGATTGGAACCAGCAGCCTTCCTATTGAGGAGAACAGTGTGAGATAAATAGGTTGAGGGGGGCCTCTAGTGAGTTAGCTTTGCCCTTATCATCTTCAGGCAATTTTTATTTATTATAACATAATAAGGGAGTAAGCTGCTTGTTCTTACCAGCCACCTGGCTAACTTAGCCCTGAAATATTCACGCAGAAACTGTATTAATTAAAACACTGTTTGGCCCATTAGCTCTAGCTTCTTATTGGCTAACTCTTATATATTAATTTAACCCATCCCCATTAATCCGTATATCACCATGAGATTGTGGTTCACTAGCAAAGTTTCAGCACGTCTATCTCCGGCGGCAGTTCTGTGGTGTCTCTCCTAATCTGCCGTCTTCCTCCCAGCATTCCATTTAGTTTTCCCTAACTACCTAAGTTCTACCCTATCAACAGGCCAAGGCAGTTTCTTTATTCATTAACCAATAATAGCAACACATAGTCAGAGGACCTCCCACGCCAAAACATAAATAAAATATCACTATAGTCCCAAGATTAGCTGGCATCACTTAGGGAGTGTTTTTTCTCTAGAAGATTGAAAATCCAGTGTTAGACCTGCACTCCCAGGCTTGGAGCCAGAGAATGTAGGAGGCTTTAAAGAACAGTAAAAGGGAGGTAGGTGAGAGGGGTGAATAGGAGTGCGTGTGTGTGCGTGCATCCATGTGTTTCTGTGAATGTGTGCATACATGTGTGTCTGTGGGTGCATGCGTGCAGGTGTGTCTGTGAGTGCATACGTGCATGTGGAAGGTGATTTATCAAAATCTGTTGAACTTGTTTTAAAGCCACCCTTCATTGTCATTTTAGCCCTTAAATGCCTAACCTATAAAAATAGATCCATGCCCACATCCATAGAGACATGTGGGCAGAGTCTTTGGTGTGGTGCTGTGGTCATAGCTGCTCCAGCAGCTGTGCAGTTGTTCCCCTGTCCACAGTTTCTAGATCTGCGATTCCCCATGTGGTAAAGCTTACTGCCCCCCCACAAGGCAATCACACTCTGAGCACACTGGCATCATCTCCACCATGGCAGGAGCACAGTCGAGCCATCCTGCATCGGTCCTGCGTTGCTGTGTCAGCTGAGACAGAGCACAGAGCATTCTGCTTTCTTGCTCAGCTCTCACACTGAACAGTTGCTTTTCTCCTGTGGACTGCAGAGCATGTGTTTGCCACATGTTTATCTGTGGGTTATCCCGTGCTTACAGGGGTTCGCAGGCCTAGTGCTCCTGAGAACCAGAAGGTTGTAGTGTGTGCACCCAGTAGAGACATTGTGGGTACAGGCTCAGCTTTCTGTGGCTGGTACAGTGCTTCTGGCCAGAAGTTCAAAGCTAATGGTTCAGCCATGTCTAACTGATAAGGTATCTTTAAACAAAAATGCATTTTAAAAATGTGGACACAAAGGCATTAGGAGCAAAGTCCTGGGTTCCCCTGGGTATGAGGATCCAGTGTACACTCGTTTAGTGTTCATGGTGACTTTGGGAATGCATCCACTGAGAACCACCCTGCCTGTAGTGAAGACTGCATGAATGAAGGCATATGAAGGTGATACAGTTAGCACAAAGAGCAATAATTCCGACAAACCAACTCTTTGCAATCATTTTCTTAAGGTTTCATTGCACGAGAAGAAGCTGAGGCACAAGGCATTGTCACTTCTAATGGCGTGGCTCACTCTCCAAGTGGTCACTGCAGCACTGTGGAGTGACAGACACCAGAACGATGATGAGGGCCCTAGGAGGTGGGCTGGGGTCAGAACAGGAGTGTGTGTCAGGGCAGAGGGCAGGGTAGGTCCGAGGAACCTCAAGGTTGGTGATGCACATACTCACAGTGAGGGCTGGATACGAAGGAATCTGGTGGAAAAGCAAGCATGCCCTCTGTGTGCTGACTCCCAGGGAGTCCCACAGGGGGAATCCACAATGCTGAAGAGACAAGTTATGTAACAGTGTGCAGAATCTGCTTCTGTTTTAGTAGCAACTCTACTTAGTATATGAGTCTAAATGTAAGAATAAAAGAAAAAGATGGTAACTGAGCACCGAGGAACTTGGGGTCTTACAGGAAAATGATACTTGTTTTTATGTTCGCGTCCATCGATTTGCTCCAACAGACACAATAAGGACCATTTTGTTGAAACTTGAAATAAAGCACAAATAGAATGTTTGAAAGCATCGATTAGCTGCATTTTGATTGGCTAACTAAGAAAAGATATAACCATACTTAATGTTGCTGGTTCCCTGCTTAATTTATCTCAGTAGAGGATTTTGAGGATGGCTCCAGTGTTACGAAAAGATTCAGAGTTGTTACAGGCAATACCTGTAAATTTTGTTTTCTTTTCTTTTTTTCCTTTAGGAATTCTTAAGAGCCATCAGATATGAAATATCTCCGGATAGAGAGTATGCGCTGTTTGCCTATAACGTGGAACCGGTGAGTCTGCCTCTTCCCCTTAGATAGAGGAATTGTTTTCTGTTCTGCTACCTTCTAAGAGTGCTTCCTGAATGCACCTTCCTCATGATCCCCAACCCTGAAACAGTTTGCATACCTGGGGTAGCCTCTTTCCTGTGTCATACCACCACATGGGAGAGAAGAGAGACATAAAAACTTTCTTGGCAGGAACAATGACTTCTTTTGAGAGATATTCCGAGGAGATACCCCTTGTACTTCCCCAGTTCCCAGTGAAATGATCAATTTCGGGCCTGAAACAAAAGGCAGTCCCCAGTGGATTCTACCTGCACTGCCTGGCCTTGCCGGAGTCCTGGTGAAAGTTAAGTCACTTTCCCGTATGTGTTTTCCGGCTTGTTGGTGCTGTATGAGTCTCCCACGCCCTAAAATCTCGCTAAAGTTCATTGTAAAAGTCTCACCCTGGGTTTGAGCAGCTGCCTAAACATCCATTCCCTGCCTGCTTTCTCGTTCTTAGTTCCTTCCAGTTCACTGGTCTCCAGTTCTCCTAAGATCATCTTGTTAGTGTTTCTTGACCCTCTCATGGGGTAAGAGCCCCTGAGAGGTGCCTCATGTCAGAGAGGCTCTGTGGTGAGCCTTGTGTGGGAGAGGTACTGGTTTCTATCCCGTAACAAAAACTGAGAAATTGGTGACTGTGAATCAGTAATCCAATTCTAAAATTTTGTAAAAGTTTGGCAACCAGGTTATTTGTGGATATTTCAACTTTATTCTAATAAATGTAGATCATTGACGGTCTATCTTAATTTTTTGAATGTCTGTTATCCAAGAGTGTTCATTTTCAATCTCTAAATTCTTGAGGACTGTTGGGCATCTGGGTCCATTTGATCGGGTGAGTCTGGATTCTCAAAGGAGAGCTTTTGCCTTGCCACTGTCTCTTTTGCTGTGCCCAGCTGTCAGGGGCTGCCTTGGGCTTTGCGTGACTGAGCATGGTGTCCCCAGAGCACAGCTCTCTCAGAAACTGCCAGAAATGGAGTGGATGAAACAGGTACCTGCAGCACTCTGGATTCACTGAGCCAGCCTGAAGTTCAGGTTCTCTTGAGTCTTTTAATCGCTAAACCAGCCAACAGTGGGATCCAGAATGTCCCACCTCCAGAAACCTTCAAGGCAGAGCTGTGTTTGTTCCTCAGAATGTACTGAAGGGCGCTGTCAGGTACTCACTGGCGCAGGGGTGCTCTTGTGTTAGGTTCCATGTATCTGTGCTTTGATGGATCCTGTGCCCATCCTCTTCCCCAGGACTCCTTTCAAAGGACACCCTGCAGTGCCGTCACCACTGACAGTCATTTGGTAGAGATGCTTTTGTCCAACATGAGTCTCTGCCACATGGGACACTAGCTAGAAATGAGACCCTTGATGTGACCCTTGCTCCCTCTGCTGTTTTTATTGAAATTTAAAGTAAGGCCCAAAACAAAAGTTCGATTTGTTTTCTCAGCCAAAGGAAAATACAGGACTTTGAAAGGATTCAGAGAACAATAAAATCATTTAAGTATAAAAAAAAAGTATTTGCTTCTTGTGATAAACACCATGAGCAAAAGAACTTAGGGGAGTAAAGAATTTCTTAGGCTGACTCTTCCCAGTCACAATCCATCATCAAGGGAAATTGGGCCGAACCTCAAGGCAGGAACCCAGAGTGAGAAACATAAAGGAAGAGGGATTGGCTAACTTTCCACCTTGCTCTCTGGCAGCTTCCTCATGCAGCCCAGATCCACTTGCTAGAGCTGAGGCCTCGCTCATCAGTAAGACAGTTCCTCACCAACTTGCACAAACCACTTGGAGAGAGGAGGCGGCTCTTCAGTGGATTTGTCCCTTTCGCCAGGATATTCTAAACTGTGTCCAGTTAACAATGAAAACCTAGCCAGCAAAATATGAAAATCCCATGGTTAAAAGTTGATATTTACCTCTAACTTGAGCAGAAGTAGTTGTTAATTCAGTACTGAGTGGCTAGCATGCCGTCATTATGAGGGCAGATTCCCAGAATCCCTTCTGCTTCGGGAGGAGCCATGAAAGGGGATGTGCATGGATTCCTGCCTGTCCGTCAGGGAGGACTTCCTGACCAGATGGTCATTGTAAACATTTCTAGAGAAGGGGGTGGATGCTTTCATGGGGAACATCTTAACCTATAATTATGGAATAAGTGGGGTAATTATTATTAAGAGGCTTAGGTTAATAATATAATGATTAATTCACTAATAATATAAAGAACTAATGTGCAAAGGGATCTGAGAACTGTAATTAAAGTTAAGTTCTTCCTTACTGCATTGTGGAGTAAAAGGTTTGGTATTCCCAGGGGGTGCATAGCATTTCCCGGGGGGGAGCAGGTTTTCAGTTTTAGCTTGTATTCATTTTTTTCATGCAATATATTCTGATTGCATTCTTTCCCCTTACCCAACTCTTCCCAGATTCCTCTCACCACCCTGCCTACCCAACTTCAGATGTCCTCTCTCTTAGAAAATAAAATTCAGAACAAAAAAATGCACATCTGAAAACAAAGGGGTCCACTTTTCCTCAGCCATCTACCCCCAAGCATGGGGCCTGCCCCAGTGTGGTTGGCCACCCAGTCACCCAGTGTCACACAGGCCATTGGAGGAAACCAATCCTTTCTCTCTCAACATCAACCACAAATAGCTTCTTGGTTAAGGCTGGCACTCCAGGATCACCTCCCTGTAAAAGTATTAGTTATCACATAGATTTGAGAGAAAATAAATTCAGTCTTGTTTTTCCTGTTTTCTAGACATAAAGTATCTGTGGGTCCATAAGCAGTGTGCCTAGAATGTGGAGTATAGTGTTCCTATGTGTGTGGTCCCAGCCTCATGGCCACAAATGTATCTATTTTCTATTTTCACCATCTCCCCTCTTCCCTAAAGATTATTCCTGCCTCAAACAGCTAATGTTTGTCACATGAGTTCTGTTTCAGGGATAGAAAGAACTTCCTGTCATTTCTCAGGGCACATCTTCTGAAGAATTCTCCCAGAACTAAGCTGGTTGTCAGGGGAATCGTAGTTTTTAATTTGTAGTTTAAAAGTGATACTAACTCCCAATAAGAAAAAAATGCTTTGAAACAAACTTGCTTCATTAGTGCAATCCTGTTCCTTCCCGCAGAGAGTGGCTGACAAGCATGGCACATTTCCTAAGCTCTGCGGTGGAAGAGAAAAAATAACTTAAATCGCAGCATCTTAGATCATTTCAAAATACAGATGCACTTTGTGAGAGAAAAGAGAAAATCTATCTGCGAAAGATTCCTCCTTGGATAACACTTTCTTTTAAAAAGCCCTGAATATTTGCACATAATTTGACTTCTGTGTTTAAAAATGACATCGAGATGGGGCTGTTTTTAAAGCCCTTTAACACCATTCGGTCCCAAATAAAGTAGCATTTTGTTCAAAAAGATGGTCTAAATAAAGGCCCAGTCACTCAGTCACCGATGCATGTAACAAGAGACCTCAACACACGTGGCTTAAAACAAGCAGTATCCATATCTCATGGTTTCTGTGGGTCAGAAATCAGGGCTCAGGTTAGCTGGGTCTGTTGACTTATTTTTATTTATTTATTTATTAAAGATTTCTGCCTCCTCCCCGCCACCGCCTCCCATTTCCCTCCTTCTCCCCCAATCAAGTCCTCCTCCCTCATCAGCCCGAAGAGCAATCAGGGTTCCCTGCCCTGTGTGAAGTCCAAGAACCACCCACCTCCATCCAGGTCTAGTAAGATGAGCATCCAAACTGCCTAGGCTTCTGTTGACTTATTAAGTCAACAGTCTGAAGTCAAGAGCCATTATCATGCTTGGCTGTGGTGGCACAGACCTGTAATCCCAGCACTTGAGACGCTGAGGCAGGAGGACTACTGTGAGTCCAGTACTATAGTTCTGAGGATCTAGGTAGTATCTTTATTTTACTGGTCCTGAACACACAGCAAGACGCATCCCCTTTCTGCTGTAAACTTCATTGTCATGCCTATACTAAGTTGCATAATGAGTTATAGATCAGGACTCTGCCACAAAAACTGCCATCATCATCATCATCATTACTATCTTCATCATCATCTGGACTACAGTCACATCTCGAGACTGTGGTGAAAAATGGTCCATCCCTAGTTCCTTCGCATGGATATTGATAGGGCTCCCTCATGGGCCAGAGAATATCTTCGGTATCTCTCCAAAGACCCTCTAAAATGCAGTGGCTTATTCTTCAGAGCAGCAAGCAAGAAGAGTGTTGATTGGGCAGGTGCCTGTCAGTATTTCGGATCCGTTGTGGAGGCTCCCTCATCTTTCCACTGTCCATTCGCTAGAAACTGGATACGGGTCCAGCCCATCACAAGCAGTGTGGACTGAAAAGCCAGGAGTCTCTGAAGCTATTACAGGTCTTGCCCCTTGTAGCTTTGTCCCTCTTTCTCACATGGCTCCCAAAACCCCAAGAAGTCAGGGAGCAGGGAGGTGTGAGTTGAGCAGGGTCTTGAGCAAATACTGTGCTGTGGGGAGGGATGATCCCCTCACGCTTTTTCAAGTGTTTGCGTGGCAACGAGGTTTATTGGAGAAGGGAGATGAGCACGTAGCGACTCCAAATTAGTCGCCTGGGTTCCACACAGACCTAAGAAATGATGTCGAAGGATGCTAACGCAGTTCTTCATAGGTAGTGCTCCACTGTCTTGCCGTCTCAGTGTTGTGTGCTCAGGATAAGTAGAATAAAATCACAACACAGACCCGCAGAACTATATTACTACTATGATTGTCCTGAGAATCCAGGCTAAAAAAAAAAAAACTGATTTTTTTTTAATGTGTGGTAATTTTGCTGCCAAATCTAAAATTTAGCAAAAACTTAGTTAAATTTCCTTGCATTTGCTGGTACCTTTCTTACAGAGTTTTATAAGTTATGTACTCAGAAGGGAAAAAAAATGAGCCCATATCTTTTTTATTTATTTATTTATTTATTTATTTATTTATTTATTTATTAAAGATTTCTGTCTCTTCCCCACCGCCG